GTGGAGGATGGCCTCTTCTCCCAACCCTTGTAAGCACCTATTGATATGGAGATGGCTACTTCTCTCCATCTCTTGTAAACACCTGTTGATATGGAGATGGATAAGGCCAGGCAAGAGATTCAGGAAATATTGCAGTTTTACCCACAGCTGGATTTAAGGAGCAAAGACAGTTGACTTATTTGGCTCCCTTCATAGTATTTCTTTTAGGACCCCTTGAAGTGCTGCGTGTAAGAAGAGAGGTTTCTCTAGCTTTCCCAAGAGGGGTAATACCATGATGGCTCTATTAGTTTGCTAGGGCTGCTGCAATGAGTACCACAGATTGAGTGGTTTAAACAACAGAAATTTACTTGTTTCACAGTTCTGGAGGCTAGAAGTCTGAGATCAAGGTGTCAGCGGGGCACCACTTTTCTCTGAAGACACTGGGGAAGGATCTGTTCCAGGGCTCTTCTAGCTTCTGATAGTCTTTGGCTTGTGGAAGTCTGTAGCTCCAGGCCAGAGGAGGTTCCCAGCTCCAGGCAAGTTCACTATGTATTTATTGAGACCATAAGCAATGGAATGTTGCAGGTAAAAAAGGGTTCATTCCAAGCTTTATTCTCATGAGGAGACTTGCAAAGTGCTTGGCTGGAATGCTAGACATCCTGTCCACCTCCTTCTCTGCCCCTAGCTCAGCCCCCAGCTCAGCCTCTGCTCCCCTCTCTCCTGCTCTCTTGTTTTCTTCTCTAGGTTCTGGTCTCCTGCTTCCCTCTGCTCTTAGCAGGGCAGAATGTTTAAAGCAATACCGGCCATAATAGCTTATTGCCAACTGTTATGCAAGCATGCACCTGTGCAGCAGGCTAAGTATTTCCTCATCGCTGGTACACAATGCGTATCAGGTGAGGATCCTAGCCATGGAACTTCCATTTTCCTTACAAAGTCTCACTGCAATCTTCAGATGGTGTGTCTCTTAATCCAAACTTTTCCTTTTCATAAAAATTTAGTCGTATTGGGTTAGAGCCCATCCTAATGACCTCATCTTACTTAACTTGAGCATCTGCAAAGACACTGTTTCCAAATAAGGTCACATTCAAAGGTACTGGGGCCTAGCACTTCAGCATCTTTTTGGGGAACAGAATTCAACCCATCACAATAGTTTTAAAAACTGAAAAAACAATGAGATTGTGAAGGGACTTTTAACTAGTCAGCTGTTCCCTAGATTATCTTTTATTGGTTGACACTGATAAAATGATTAAAGAGAATCCTTTAATGTCTATCCATTTGGGTAATTCCTGTTTTTTAGCAAATTTGTCCATAAAGCAAATTTCTGTAACATGAATCTTTTATGTTCCCCTTCCTTTAAAAAACTGGGGGTATATCCACATAGAAAAAAAATAATAGTAAACTAAAATGACAGTAAGTTCAACATTTTGGTTAGGAAATTAAGATCGTAGAATTCTGAGCATTGCTGTATTTTGGCACATTTTTCCTTTAGGTAATTGTAATGGCTGCAGACAGTTGACTTCTCTTTTTGCAACAATTCATTTCATGAGCTGAGGAGTTTCCTCTCCTTGATATACAGCATGTATTGCTTTATAGTTCCAGAGTTTCTTCTATTATTGGTTTGGTGTATAAATTTGTAATGCCTATTATAGTTGACCTAAAACCTCTGTTTGAGATGTCAAATTTTAAATTGTCATTATTCATAAATTAGAAAAAATTGGAATATCTAGAATAGAGTAGTTTCCATCAAATTGACATTTGAGAGACTTTAAGACAATGCAGCCCCGGAGCTCCCAGAATGTGGTCCAGAGACGTTAGCTCAGACTATGAGGAGCCTTGCAAAGGGCTTGGCTGGAGTAGTAGAGTATGAGGGATGGAGGAGGGATCCTTTTTGACAATAAAAGGTTGGGACACTTGAGCAATATTTGCCAAAGTATTTGGTCTAGAATTTATATGAAGAACTTTATTNTGTAAGAATAGAAATAGGTTGGCATAAGCATAGCCATCTTAAAGGCCTAGAAGCCATTTTCTGAGTATGTGACTTAGAAAGAAAAACTGGAACTGGGTAAGGCCTTGAAAAACAAGTTAATCATGAGCACCGGGTGGTGGGCAGCTGTGACCCTTGGTCAGCTAACCTTGGTCAGTAAATCTTACATACCAAGCTTATCGTGCAGAACCTCCCTAACCATTGAGGAGTAGTCTTACCCTGCCCTTGCTTAACCCCAGGATATATGTCTTGCAAGAATAATGTATAGTTATAGAAAATTGCTATGAGTTAAGTGCTTTGAAATTGCTATATAAACCCTTGGCTCTGAGTGCTCGGGGTCCTTGTTGAGACCCGCTGCTTCGGGCTGACTTGGACCCCAACTAGTTGGCTGAATAAAGACTTTGCTTGAATTTACATCTCTATGCCTGTGTAGTTTGTTCTCTGGGGAAGCCTCGGAAGCCTGGACCCTAACAATTGTGAGTAGGATAGCAGTAGAAATAACTTCACCAGGCTTTGACCTTTGTGGCTTTATTGATTCATCTTTTTTTTATTGAGCTTCTTCACCTTGTAATTGTTCACCTATAAATTTATGCAAATGTTTGGCCCTCCTACAAATTTGTGATTCACACGGGACTCCTCCCCTGGAGGATCAGTTTCAGCTGTAGATCACCAGAAAGTCACTTTTTTCCTGTTTTGCTTTGAGTAGAAATTCTTCAGGTTGTCTTATGCTTACGTCTGGGTAATTTATTCCTATATACTGTTTGATAGATTAGTTACAATATTTCAAATAGAGTGGTGAAAGCCAATGTGGCATAATGCAGAAAGTAACACCTGAATATTGAAAGGTGCTTATTACATTGCAGGGTCTTTCCTTGGGTTTGGAGACAGGAACAATAGCAAGGGCAGGAACATAGGGCATATTTGGGCATGGCTGTGCAAGTCCTCAGTTTATTTGGTTCATAGCTTCCTCATCTATAACCTGACATAAATGAGTTACAGTTGTTAAGATCTCAACCATCTTAACCATTCTAAGAGAATAAATGAAACAAGAATGAAGTAAAGCCAAAAACAACTGCTCCTTATCTTAAATGTATATAGTGTAAATTATGTGTTCAAACTTTAATTATTTTGGAGACTACTATTATGCTTATATTTTTAAAAACCTCTTTCAAAGAATAACTAGATTTGGGAATGAACTTCACAGAACTGTGTACCAGTAAGGAATACTAACTCTGATTCCAGGGGCTGGGGCAGCCACAGCTAACTAAGCTAGGAGGGTGTGTGCCTTTCCAGATTTGCAAATGTTTCTGTTCATTTATTAAAGGAAAATTGGATGAGCACTGCACAATTCTTGCCATATAGCCGATCCAGCTAAATGAGTCCAGGTTTTCTCAGCTATTTCCAGATCCACCATTGCCATTATAATGATGTACTGTAGTAATTTTACTTTATGCACTGTTTTCCTTCTCTTATCTCTAAATGCCTTAGTCATTTAGATGGTATGAATGTATCATTTCTTCTTGAAAGCTTTTGGGTGATTTAGACAATATTTTAAATTTTATTATGGTTATTTAACATCCATAAATAGAGATCCAGTTTGTTTTCTTTACTATAACTTTCTTCCAACCCATTGACATGAGTAATTTGGTTATAGTGGTATTAATAGATAATAGATTAATTTAAGTATAATTTCAAATAATGTTTGAGGTGAATGAATGAATTATTTGAATTGAAATAATTGCTGACATTTGTGATATGTATAGTATTGTGTGGGTCTCTATAGAAGAGATTTTCTGATTTAAAAAGTCACTGAAGTTCAGTTAAACTCTTCAGACATATTTCTTTAAAAGTGCTTTGCAGTTCAAACTTCTCACTGAGCTAGAGGGGCTTCCTCTTGCTTAATGTGAGTTAAAGAGGCTTAGAATATATGGACGACTTTCAGATTTATCTGCCATATGAATGAATACTCCATGTTCTCTTCTAAATAATCAGGATTTAGCAGTGCACTGTTTTGTCTCCATTTATTGTCTTTTTTTCTGAATTAAATGACAGTTTATGTTTGTCATGAGAAATAGGATATGTTTTTCTTCAACAGTTACAGTTTTTATAGATGATGATGTGGAAATAACAGTGGTAGCTGACTAGCCCAGTACAAATGAAATGGGGAATTTATGAATGTAATAGCTTTGAAAAATTATTTTAAAACTATACATAAGAACTTTGAAATATGCAGAATATGCCTGAATCTTTTTATAGCACTTAATTTCTCCATTTCTTTACCTATGAAATAAAGGTATCACAAGTGGCTTTTAACAGAATGCTGTGAAATTCTTCATTGTCTGAGTTTGATTCTCTTTCCAGTCACACATCCCAGTTGCTGCCTCCCAGCCTCCACTCTGCAAACCAGGGCCAGTGAAGAGAGAAATGTGGAGCCTTGATCACAAGGAAGGGATAAGACTTGAAATGTTTTCAACACTAACCCCTTTCTGTAACTACAGATAGTCTTTAGAATTTTCGTGGCTACTGCTTGAGGCTAAAAGGGGAAAAAAGCATTTTACTCTGTAGTGGATGAACAAATGAGATTAAAGAAAGATATAATACAGCCAATAACAGCTAATTTATAAGCAGAGCATTAAATTTTGTCTTTTTTTCTATCTATGACCTCATGTGAAGATGGAAGGTGATAAATAAATGATAACTTCGTATGTGATGTGACCTAATTTGGGGATGTAATATTAGATGTTAGTCACACTCTTCCACTTTTCCCTTTTCAAAATTATAATTGGGCTTCCTGTTTGCCTAGCTAAAAAATAAAGTGTAATTAGCATTGAAATCAGGATGTTAGTTACAAAAAAAAATAGAGCCTGCTAAGTCCTCATTTGAAGAAAGAAGCACATGCTGTGAAGAGTGGAGGCCAAATTATTCTGAGTGGATCTCTCACCACTTCCATGGGAAAATCATGTAAACCGAGAACTGGTTCAGTTTATTGAGATGTTTATTCGCTGTTAGAGGACTTGGGGATTCTTTCCTGCTGTAGGATCCGTATGACTTCACGGTGGCAAAGATGAGTTTGAAGGCACAGTGGTGATATATGCAAATGGAATTTGGGGCACAGTCTGTAGCAGCCACTGGGATGATTCTGATGCATCAGTCATTTGTCGCCAGCTGCAGCTGGGGTGAGTTCCCCGTCCTTGGTCCCATCAGCCTGAGAAGAATGTTGGGCACCATCATTGCTGGGCAAGGGTCACATCTTCCTTCCTCACTCTCACTTCTCACAGAAGAGTTCTAAAGAAAGGGCCCCAGAAGAAGGAATGAGTTCTCTTACACACAAATGTGCTTCACGTATTACTGCCCCTCAGACTAGGAAGTGGGCAGATGCTAAGTGGCCAGAAGTCAAAAGCCTCTTTTGGTCTTTGTCCTTAACAAAATAATTGTTTAGTCCTAGGAAGCAGGGAATTTGAGTCTAAAAATAGTAATTTCTCAGTAGCTCATGCATCCCTAGGCTGCTATCATTTGCTTTGAACTTTCTGCTTTTGGCCACCCACAAATTCCATTTGCGTGTGTGAAGGAGACAATGTCCATCTGTGTGCTTCTCCTGAGGTGTGTGAGGGGTGGTGTCTGGGCCTCGGGGCTCTGCCCTGCAACATCCTTTGAGACAGAGCAGCTCTCAGCCCAGGAGCGCCTGGAGGCCAGGACAGCCCCACCCCGCTCTAGGCACTTTCTAGGCAGTCTGTATGCACAGGCAGGGCGCCCTGCCTTCCACCAGTCCCAGCACCTTTAGCCCTCATGCCAAGGGGAGCAGAAGCCTCCATTTTGGTACAAAACGTTTTGTTTTATTGTTCTCATTGTTCTGTTTTTGTGTCTCATTTATTTTTCCTAAGTACACATTGATAAATGTTTTTCTTGACTTTTATCATCAGGGAACTTTAGAAAGCATGGAAAATATCTTGTTATGAAAAATGGGCGTCTAAAAGGCCGAAAGAAAGGCTTGCAATTCAGGAATGGTTTAGATTAATAATTGTGAGCAGTAATATCTAATATGATGATACAGATAAAGGCTAGTCAACTCCAGTGAAATAAGTACAAACTTAATTTTCCATCTTCCTCCTGTCTTCCCCCTAGGAAGGCGTGGAATGAGTATTTAGTAAAGGCAAACTTTGAAGGCTTAAGTTTTTGTTTTGTTTTTTTTCTCATCCTTCATTTTATAAACAGTGAAAATGAGGTCCAGCAAGGTTAAGAGACATGATCAGGATCACATAACAAGTTAGTGGTGTGAGCTGATTTTAAAACATTCCGTTTCCATTCACACAAGTCAATTTCACTTAAGATTCATATGGACTCACTATCTTTATACATAGTTTAAAACATTTAAACAATTCCTCTCCTACTACTGCAGAATTCCTCCTATTGAAGATCATGAAGGCTTAAGTTTTATTCAGACTTTTGATGCTATTAGAGAAGCAAATAGAATTAATGTACTTAATTAACTAGTTTTAAAAATGAGTGTTGGTATATATCAGCGTGAAAGAAAGTAAGGCTAAAGCCGGTCAAGTGTTAGGGTCGTGAGGAATGTTAATTACTGATTTAATCAATGAATATTTTGTCTGACAAAAGAGTCGTCAGCAGATGGGCAGGTCATAAAGAATGTGAACTTGATGCTTTTTGTTTTGATGGACTGAAGATACAGCAAGTTTGTAGGTTGGTGTCCGTGTCTTCCTTTATATACGTATCTTCATGTGCTTTTATTACCCCTGAAAACCAGGGAAGGATAAAATTTCCCATGAGATTGCGACATAAGCAAGAACACTATGGTGGACATGTGCCCTGCAGTGTGGTTACCAGTCTTTCTGTTGATGAAAGAATGTCGCCATCATTCTGTAGACATAAACTTCAGATAAGCTGGTCTGGGTGCTTATATCAGCTCTTAGTAGTCCATCAAAAAAAAAGAATTGTGCAGTAAGAGTGGAGCAACCTGGTTTTACTGCTATTAAGACACACTCATATTTTAGATACACCCCATGTATATAGTGTTTAGTTGATGGAAGTTTTTGTATGGTGACAATTCTTTAGATTACCATGTTAGTTAGATAAGCATTTCATTTTTTATATTTAATATCAATTTGTACATATCAGAGTTTACTTACAATGTACATAGATTAAATAAGTTAGAAGCAGAGCCCATCAGCAAGTTTTTATTTTACTAGTTGGTTTCAAAGTTTTGCTAGCAAATACTATTTATAAAGTTTTAAAAATTGTGAATTTATTGCCTATCTTGGTATTACCTTGCTTATGTGTAGTAATAATAATCATTTGAAAATGCTTGCCTAAAGTGCTGGTGAAGGAAAGAATCTTCAAGCATCTTTTATAGGTCAGAAGGCAGAACTAACAGAAGGTTGCAGCTGAGAGTGATTCACAGCTGAGTCCAGACTAGAATCCAAGTCTCACTGGGCCACATGATATACTTTTTGCACATAGTCACCTGGCTTCCTTTTTATATCCATAGTACGTGTTCCTTTTCTTCTAAAATCAGCCATAGACAGTGAAGGCACATGCGTACATTAATTATTTAAGATTAATTAAAAAGATCGCCTTAGGTAGTCAGCTCAAGTTCTGATTTGATGTTTTGACTACTTGAAACTTATGTAAACCATTGTTTTTCTTTTTCTTCCGAACTCATCTTTATTGATTTATTATATTTTTTAAAAATCTAAATGCTTCTATGAAAAAATTCTCCTACATTTGATAAACCCTAACCACCAGTCATTGTACTTCCAGAGGCAAAGGAGTAGCAAAACACACGCCCTTTTCTGGACTGGGCCTTATTCCTATTTATTGGAGCAATGTCCGTTGCCGAGGAGATGAAGAAAATATACTGCTTTGTGAAAAAGACATCTGGCAGGGTCGGGTGTGTCCTCAGAAGATGGCAGCTGCTGTCACGTGTATCTTTTCCCATGGTAAAAAAAAAATCCTCTTGTTTTACTTCCATTGTGTTTTCAACCATGATTCCAGATGATAAAAGTGTCTTAGTTAAATAATTTCCTAAGTGTTTAAATACGTAAGTCTGAATCATCATATTCTGTAGGACTTAACAGTCTAATTAAATGCCTTCAATAGGAATGCATCTAACAATTTGAATTACTTTTGATTTTCTAAATAGTATTTGACTTTTGACATGTTTTCTGTCTTACCCAATTTGCTTACAGAAATACTATATACTGTATATGAAACATTTATTTTGCCAATGGAAAATCATGATGGAGTCAAGATAGAAAATCACCTTGAAATCAAATCTGTAATACAGCAGCTCCAACAAAATCATTTCAGTTCATAGGATGACATGTAATCATGGGAGCAGTGTTCTCCTGTGAGTGGCAGATGGCACATTCTGTAAAGGCCCCTTCCAAGAACAGTATCTTAGGCATGAGGTGATTGGCAGTACAGTTTCAGTGCACAAATATGCATATATTCATATGAACGTAAGTAGAGGAGGGAACAGCTGCCTTTCATGATGGCTGATGGGTTTTCTGGGGAACATGGTGTATTATAACGGGTGGCCCTGACCTGAGGCCGCCACACTGATAGAGCACCTCTGTGCATTTGCCTTGGAAACAGCAGTGTGGTTAGATGTCTCAGGCCTTGAAAAGCTAACAGCCAGCTCAGGGTAGTAGTTTTAGTTTGAGGTCAAAAGGAATAGAAAAGCCCCTGTCACAAAATATAGAGGCCCAGTTTAGACTGATTCCTGTGAACTGGCTGGGAGAAGCAATGGGAGGATGGGTGCGGTGTGTGCTGAGAGCCACAGCCCTTTTGTGGGTATGTCTTAAGTCTTGATGTTTTGTAAGGTCTTCTTATGAGTCTCCACCTTCGGGCAATGCTGCTTTTGACAAGTACATGTTTTTACATCAGTGCTTCAAGGATGATGTGCCTGGGGCTCAATAATGCCCTGCTTTTTGTAGATGACTGCTTGAATACTATGTTCAAGCTGATGGACAAAATTTTAACATTTTAAAAGTAGCAAAGTAAGTAAAATCTTGAAAACAGTTATTTTTCTTTCAAGATGACTTAAAAAATTCCTTCCACTCTTTATAATCTATCCATCTGCTTACACTCTGGTTGCAAAGATAAATTTAAGGTTTTTTATAAGCATACAAAAAATATACAAAGTTGGGATGATTTAGAAGTGAGAATGTAAAAAGTTCTCTTATTGTAGATTAAATGAGAGTGTGAAAGCAAATAGCTCAGATCACAGCAGGTCTTCCTAAGGCGCCGTGATAGACATTAAATCATCCTTTTAGTTTGATAATTACATTTAGTGTCTGCCCTGTAGTGCTTGTTGCATTTCCGACACTCAGGGACCAGTACTGGCACAGGAAGTGGTGGTCTAAATGCAAGTGCTTGGGAAGTTTATTTGTCCCTAAGTTAAACGAGAGGCAACTCTGCCACTGAATTCTCCTTCAAATGATTTTTTGTGTGTCTGTGGGGAGGATGGGGGATGTTGACTAAGTTTTGTTCTTGAGCTTTGCTATATTTTCACAATTTTTATACAACCAGGAAAAAACCCACATTTTTAAAGAGAGCACCACCCTAAAAAAATGTAATAGGCTGTAATAGTTCTGGATTGTAGGTGATTTAAAATTTCCTCTTTAAAAAATTTTTCTGGTTTCTCCAAGCTTACCATGGTAGTACAGGGAGGGGAAGAAGAAGAGAACATGATACCCTAAGAAATATACATTTCCCCATCATTTTTACTATATTTTCCAGGGATTTTAAAGGAAAAATATATATAACAAGCAAATTTGCGTTTCTTACTGTCATTTAGTCATGTTAATTATAAGAACCTAGTGTATAATATTGAGAACAGTTATGTTTATTAAACCGGTCTTTATTCTTTAACAAATTATAAGTGCTATTTGACTTAGGTAAGTAGATAGTATTATAAATATCAGAATATGGGTATTTGCAAATATTCACTGATCTGAAAATCTCTGCTATAAAACTCAAGTATGATATTTGAATATAAATATAAATAATATAAATACCATTTCCTGACAGCCACTTACACTGTGGAGGAATTAGAAGCATACATGTGGATACACGATCAACATTTAACAAAAGGCACAACCAGACTTCTGAATAGGGTCCCAGCCTGTTTTGGCCCTTTCACCATATTGTGTGCTTTATTCCAGAAAAATTAGATTGCTAACAGTTTCCCAACACATTCAACTTTGTACCTCTATGCTTGTGTTCATCCTATTCCCCTTGCCTGCGCTGTACTTCCTCCATCTCTGATTTCTGGAATCCCATCCATCCATCTTGGCCCTCTTCAGATACCAGCTTATTCAGCAGTGATTCCCCATCTACCCCCAGTGATGAGCAAGCTCCCTTGCTTCTGAACCCCTGCAAGGTCTTCTTGATGATCTTTTCTCTGTACTCATTTTGTACGTGATGAGGCAGTGACTTTAGGGCAGCATCCGCCTGGTGCCCCTCTGAATGCCCTGCAGCACCTGCTCCAACACCTTGCACACAGCAGGTGCCTAGTAACTGTTTGTTATCTTCTTTCTAGGCTTTTGACTATCACTTGCCAATCCAATGCATCAACACGTATTTATTACATGCCTTCTATATGCTGGGTACCTGAGATGTGCAGGTGAAGGGAAGGCGCCATCTCCGTCCTCGATTCTAGTTGACAGGTGGCAGAGAACCGACAAAAAAAAAACACACACTAAATCAGTGACAATTCTAGTTAAAGTAAATACTCTGAAAGCAATGTTGTAGGCAAATTAGGCAATTTAGTAGAAAGTGTGTTAGGGTCCTGGGTTAGCTCCAGTAGCAGGGCAGGCCTTCTGAAGAAAGAACAGTTTCAGAGTTGAGAACTGAATGATGAGAGAGGGAGGCAGCCATGGGAAGAACAGTGGGAAGTACTCCACGGGAAGTATCCAAGCAGAAGTGATAGCAAGGGAACATACCCTGAGGTGAGACCAACTTTGAGTGTTTAGGGGACAAGAGGAAGAGAGCTGTAGCCCAGTGAACGAGGCCAGGGGTGGAGAAAGGTGTTCAGAGAGTTGCGGGATAAATCAGGGGCTTAATGGACCATAATAAGGAGTTTGCGATGGGAAGGTGCCGGTGGTTCTTAACAGATCAAATGAATATGAACTGATTCATACCCAAATGAATTTACAATGTTATTTTTTTGAAAGTACTCGCCCCGATGTCCCACAATTTGGTATACTGAGTTTGATGGTAACTTCACCTTGAGTTCTACAAATATACATACTAAAACAAGTATGTTACAGATAAAAGTGCCATTCTTAATAATTACATGTTGGTGATGCTTCAGTTTCTGTAAGTAAACACATCAGTGTCCCACCATAATACCATAAAAATCAAATGAGTTTCCAGTAAACTGCAGTTTTGAGTGTGTCTTTTCTGGTTTCTGAGGTTGTTAGGGAAAAGCAAATTAGGCTAGTTTCTCTCAAGAGCTGTTTTTATAAATAGCATTCAATATGGAGTGTTTTAATTGGTTAAGATTACCATTATATATATTAGATATGTGTGTGTGTAGTCCAAATCACTGAAATGTCTTAATAAATATTAATTATTGAGAATGAGAAAGAAATAGAATATACCTTATTTCACCACTCAGTATAAATATGTAGGCTTCATTTGTTTTTAATTCCACACTGTGCAGGCCCAGCATTCCCCATCATCCGCCTTGCTGGCGGGAGCAGCGTGCATGAAGGCCGAGTGGAGCTCTACCATGCTGGTCAGTGGGGGACCATCTGTGATGACCAGTGGGATGATGCGGATGCAGAAGTGATCTGCAGGCAGCTGGGCCTGAGGTTTGTGTTTGTTCTTGTTTTGTTTTGTTTTGCTAACATTTTAAAATCTGTTATTTCCATACCCAAAGGCAGGTGGCTGTGTGTTTAAATTGTGCATTTCCTTGAACAAATAGAAAAAGGTACCTTTTGATTTTGTACTAGACTCCAGGCTCCCTGCAGAGAATTTATTTTTATTCTGAGAGTTAAGCTGTTTGTATCTGAATTCAATTGATTTTATATCCCTAGGAATCTAAACCTTTTACTACTTTTCGTTAATAGCCCTTATATTTCTCCCAGGTAATGACCAGCCACATCAACTATCAGTCATACTATGAAACTAGTGTTAGGTTTCAGCTGAAACTCAATTCTTCTCCCCAGATATTTTCTAAACTTCTGACATTTGCTTCCTTCTTTGTTACGTATGTTAGAATAAAGGATGTTTATTAATATTCAGTGGAAATACTTGCCATGTAGGGATGTAAATGTGTAGTAAAGACAGCAGTATGAAAATCAACATTTCATGTTGCCTGAGTTGTGATTTTTCTGCAGTTAGTAGTATGTTACAATTTGGGGTTTTTAAATCCTTCCCTGGAGTGATTCTGAACATTGGTATAAGAAGCCTAAAAGGTTCTCTAAATTATACTAGGGGATCTTTTAAAAGCTGATATTTTACTTTGAATTTGTAAACTTTTGCATTTAGCACTTGGTTGTGGGGTGGGGTGGGGAGGAACCTCTTGAGATTAAGGTTTCTCTGTCCATGTAACATTTTGTCCAATTAAGCATAATCCTTGACACTGGACCAGGATTTTTGAAACTTGGACCAATTCTTATTTTTTTGGCAATTGGTTTTTGCAACTGACCCCCCTCTTTTTAAAAATTCTGTGTTTATATTGAAATATTTTAATAGGCATTATAATATTTTACCTGTACTTCAGTACATCTCTTAAAATAAATAAGAACATTGTCTTACATAGCCAAATTAACATGATCACAACTAAGAGAATCAGTAATCCTTCTTAATATTGTCTAATACCCCATCATATTAAAATTCGCACCATTGCCCCTACAAAGTCCTTGACAGCTGATTTGTCGGAAGCAGAATCTATCCTGGCGCAGCCCACCGGGATGTCGTGCCCCTGAAGTCTCCTTGAATCTAGAACTGCCCATTCTGGAGAGTGTCCTACCTTCTGGATTTGTCTCACTCCTTCCTAGTTTCTCCCTTCTTCATTTAGTTTACTCCTCTGTTTCTTGCAAGTCCTGAAATTGGTGACTAGATCCAAAGGCTTGATTAGATCACCATGTTTTGGCTAAAAATTACCCTCGGTGATGTGGTGATGTTTGCTTGTCTTATATCTCATCAGCATCTTAGGCCAGCTCGGGTTCTCCCCATGCTGAGGCCTGCTCTTTCACTGTGAACTTGCAGTTTCCCCCGTCGCCGATTTTGGGACCTAACTGCTGCTTTGCAGTTCACATGTGGGACAGGAAGAAGCCTGGCAAACCCTGTGTCCATAGGGTTTATAGTTACCAGTGGTGGTAAATTTACTGGAATAATCATTTTCTTTGAGTGGGTCAGTAATAGGGCCAACCGGTTCTTTTTGTGAAAATTGTTATTAATCATTAATTTTTTTGAGCCTAGATTTTTTAAATGTTCTGACTAGGTATCAGTCTCAAAAGCAGTTTTCTTCAAAATTCCAGTTGTTGCCATTGGAGTCAGCATAGCATAAGATTTTGAGCAGGTGCCCTGTCCTGGGAATGATCTGGATTTGAGTCCTACTTCTGGGAGTGAGAAAAGTTGCAGAATATCTCTTAGTTGCAATTTTCTCATCTACAACGTATTTCCTAATGTGTAGGGTTTAGTGTCTATAAAGCAGTTAGCACACTTGTTAAGTGCACAATATATATTGACTATCAAGGTCAGTCTTATTAGGGGCTTTTATAGTGGAAAGAAGTTATTAAATATTCAAAGAAAAATGCTATTAAACATTCAAAGTAAACAGAGCATTTAGTGGTGAGATCATCAAACACTATACCTCTATCCAGAACTTCTATTTAGTTAGCTATATCTATGAATTTCATACTTTAAAACACTATTATGTGTCTATGTCTATTTACTGGGTTTTATCAATGATGTGGTCACTGGAGTGCTAATTGATTTTCGTGTTAGTTACTAAGAAACTTAATACATTTTTTATTATTATGTTTCTGTGGGAAAAGGCAAGCTTTTGTTGCATAGAAAATGCATAGAAAATTTAAATTAAACACTGAATATGAATCGTATTTACAGTTATGGAGTGATTCTGAAAATTCATGTTGAAATGTAGGGTTCTTTCTTGATAGCCAATTTTTTTTTCACTTAAATTAACAGTTCTTAAGACCATGTGGACAAACAATGGTCTACTACATAGAATATACAAGTGGTATCACAATGAAGACTGTAATAATGTGAACACATGCATGGGTTAAATGAAGTGTTTGCATCTTTCTCAAGCATTAGTTTATTGCCGTCTTTCATATGAGGAGACTCATGTTTGAAAAAGTGATTAAAAGGGGAAAAATAGCTCCAAATACACAAGAGCAGAAAGTCTGTGTAACAACCAACAATCCAGAAGGAGAGGTTTGTTGTCATATAAGCACTCAGATGCTCTGAGCTGTCATTGTCCATTTGCCTTGATTTTATAGTTCTCTTATAAGTTTGCTTTAAAGTAATATTCTGCAACTACTCACCCTTTCATTTGTTTTGCTTGCTTAAGGGTGCAGTACTTTCAGATGAAATGGTATTTAATGGCACATCGTTGGTAGCAGATAACATAACTGTTGCTTGTCTCAGTTTATGAGTTGCTCTTAAGCAAATTTCATCACAGTCTTACTTGCTTTGTTGAATTCCCACAGGGAAGCTGCATTGTGCCTCCCTGGAGCGGTGGGTACAGTTTCTTTGTGGGAAGCTGTTTCTGTTGACCCTCATCTTTTAATGGTATCCCTAGGTGGTGGTAGCTGGCAAGCTATCTAAATACAAAAGGAGTTACTGTCATTAGATTTGATTAACCCAGAACTTGGGGAAAGATGAGGACCAGGAAAGAAGGTAGCCGGTTGTTAGAAAATTGAACTTGACAATGTGTATGTATCCAGTGAAGTTTCAGGTGGAGACGTTTTAAGTAGAGTTGCTTTTGTGAGTTCAATATTAAAGTATTTCCCATGTCTTTTGAAACTCTTAAATATAGCTAAGAACTATAACATCATATTTTGTTATGTGGATATGCCATAATTTACATAGGAATTTGAACATTTTAAACATTTCTTAGTTTTTTTTACTATAAAATTGTATAAAACATTTTATTGAGTTGTCAGAATAAAAATTCTTCTAATATGCTTTTTAAAAAAATGTTTCTTCACTCTTTTATTTCACCATTTCATTAATTTCTTAGTATATTAAAAACTTTACGATTAGGGTAACCTGGTACAGAGAATTACTGAGTGAGAAAGAGACCTTATTAAACAGATGGGGAAGTCAGGCCCTGTGAGATTACCCAAGGGCCCTGGAATCGTTCTGTTAGTGAGAGCCTGAACCTTAACGTCTGTGGCTCCCACTGTAAGATTTTTTTCTTTCATGTTACCCTTTTTGTAAAATAGCTAGGTGTTAATGATAATAAGTAGAAATAGAGGGCTGAAAGAAATAGGGAAGTCAAGAGAGAAAAGCTAATTTTAGGAAGAAGATGATGATGAACATGTTTTAAGTGTGATAGGCAACTTATTAAAAATGCCGCCAGATAGCAAAGTGTTCCAGGGTTGGCTTTGTAGCCAGACCACGTTTACCACCTAGTGGTGGTATAATGCTGGGCAAATTGTTTACCTTCTGGGCCTCAGTTGCTTCATGGGTAAATTGAGGAATACATCATGGGGTTATAGGGAGTATAAAGCTGTGAGACCAGTGCCTGGCATACAGTAAGCATTCCATATACGTCAAAAATAATTACTGGAGGTGGAAGTGATTGTTTTTTAGAGAGAAATCTAGAATATTGATCATGAAAAATGATTTTTCCATCCATAGATTTACAAGGGTTACAAAATGATATTTGCAGTTAAAGGACCAGTTTGTTTTATAACCTACCAAGTAATTATCTTGCACAATAGAATTGCCTAATTCTATTCTGTGTCTGTTCAAAGTAGTAGGTAAACCTGAGGATTGATTACTCAGATGGTGCTGTTTGTTTAGTCTTTTTCTATGAAAAAGCAAACTTTATATGCGTCCAGTCAGATTAACCTAATAGGTTGAAGAATGTTTTGGATAAGGATCGGACATAGAATCAATTCAGTGTTTATTGGTGATTGCTGTTAAGTAGGTCAAACAGCTTTACAGAAAATAACCTAATAAAGCAATGTATTATATCAGAGCATCCCTATTCCACAAATTTATTCTATAGTCAGAGGGTAAGAAAGTGGCCAACACTGGGATTTTTCCTACAAATGAACTTCCAGGGCTGGTGTGCATATGAGTTCTGCCAACCAAGGACAGAGAACCCAGAGTTTTATTGAATTCACATAGCAGTTGTTTGACATTAACAGTCCATGAGTCTTATGTTTCTGTCCCCCAGTATCACAAAATCTCTTTGAGGGCAGAGTCATCAGTTTCTTTGCTGTTCCCTTAGAAGCCAGCACAGTCCAGGGCACCAGGGAACACTAGTGACTGGCTGAAAGTGTATTTATGTAATATTATCTTCTTAATTTTAGTAAACTCAGAAATTAGCTAGAAAAACTCGTTTGTTACATCATAATTTCTTAGTTAATGTAGTTAATTTTTTTCTCAAATTCTATTAGTTTTTTCTGATTATTTTAATTATACATTCTTGTGATCATTAAAATGATGTTTATAAACAATGGAAAATATAAATAAATAAACAAGAAAATAAAACACCCAAATGGTGTTTCTTGAGTACTTTAACATAGATGGCTTTCCCCAGAGTCACTATCTGGGACTTCTACCCTTTCATCCTGCATTCTCCTTATAACATAAAAATAATTTATAT